CCTGATCGCAGAGCCAGAAGTAAACCATGAGCTCTGCTGAGTGTGGCCCCAAAACCAAAAATAAAACAAACATAATTTTTTTGATCCCCCCAATATATATATATATATATATGTGTGTGTGTATATATATTTTTTTCTTTTTGGGTTACACCCTTTGATACTCAGGGGTTACTCCTTGGCTCTGTACTCAGGAATTACTACTGGTGGTGCTTGGGATGGAATGGAATGCTGGGGATTGAACCTAGGTTGGTTGAATGCAAAGCAAATGCTCTACCCGCTGTATAATCGCTCTGGCCCCCCAAAAATTTTTTTAAGAGGAAAGAAATAAAAGACAAATGTCAAGAGATGACTCAAAGTGCCGGAGCACATACTTTGCACATAGGAGCTCGTGGCTCGACCCTGGTACTGCGTGGTCTCTCAACCATCCTGGGTATAACCCCCAAGCAACCACCTGGGGGTGACCCTCCCATAAAAATTGGGACCTCCATGGGGCTGGAGTGATAGCACAGGGGGTAGGGCATTTGCCTTGCATGCGGCCGACCTGGGTTCGATTCCCAGCATCCTATATGGTCCTCCATGCACAGCCAGGAGTAATTCCTGAGAGCATGAACCGGGAGTAACCCCTGTGCATCGCTGGGTGTGACCCAAAAAAGCAAAAAAAAAAAAAAAATTGGGACCTCCAGAGCCTGGAGAGATAGTACAGCAGGTAGGACACTTGCCTGGCACAAAGCCGACCCAAAGGCTGGAGCAATAGCACAGCGGGTAGGATGCGGTCCACCCGGGTTCGATTCTCAGCATCCCATAGGGTCCCCCAAACAATGTCAGGAGTAATTCCTGAGTGCATGAGCCAGGAATAATCCCTGTGCATCGTTGGCTGTTACCCAAAAAAACAAAGCCAAAAAAAAAAAAAAAAAGCAAAGCCGACCCAGCTTCAATCCCTGGCCCCCTGTACTGTCCCCTGAGCCTGCCAGGAGAGATCCTTGAGCACAGAGCCAGGAGTAACCCCTGAGCACTGCCAGATGTAATCCAAAATCAAAAACAATTGGGACTTTGTCTCTTCCATTTGCCTCCTGTGCGTCTTCTGTTTTCATCATGGTGGCCAAAGCAGGCTGGAGGGATAGTACCCGGGGGTCCGGCTGCCCAGCTGACAGAACTGGCTCTGCTGTCCCACCTTGGAGATGCCTCACGCTGCGCTGAGTTTGTGTCTTCGGGTATAAAAATGGAAATGCTGTAAATGTCAGAGGCTGTGTCTGGTGGACTGAGGGCCACACAGCAGAGCTCGGGAGGCTGTTCCCATCTGCCCCTCCTCCGTTCCCTCGGGGCGCTGTGGCAAGAGCTTGCGGGAGTCCGGGGCCTGCCGCAGAAGCACGTGGTGGGAGAAATGCTGAAAATATTCGGCTCTCGTGGCCTCCCTGGTTTTGCCGGCTCACTGACTTTGCTGAGCCCATTTGCCCCTGTGCTCTGGGTGCTGGACACGGTCCTTCAGCACCGCCAGCACGGAGCCTGGGAAGAGGGGGGCTGAGAGAGGGAGTGAGCTGATTTCCATGTCTGGAACTTTGTGGTGTTTTTTTGTGGGGACAGTGTGGGGGGGATCTAAGCAGCGCTCTGGAGACCCATGCCACTCCCTGGACTGGATGAGTCAGCACCTGTGTTTGTGGGGTGTATGTTGGGGGGCACCAGAGCCACACCCAGCAGTGCTAGGGGTGGGAGGATGGAGTGCTGGGCTCCAGCTCGGATTCTGCCCTCACCCCTGAGCTCTCTTCCTGTCTTTGGGATTTTTTTGTTTGTTTGTTTGTTGATTTGTTTTTGGGGTCACGCCCAATAGTTACTCCTGGCTCTGTGCTTAGGGATCACTCCTGGCGGGCTCAAGATCTTATGGGATGGGGGATAGGACTGGGGTCAGTCGTGGGCAGGGCAGCGTTCTACCCACTGTGCTATCTCTCCTTCTTCAGGATTTTTTGGGCGGTGGGGGCATGCCCAGATCCGCAGTGTGTACGTGATGGTTCATTGCTGGGGGTGATGGTGCAGTGCCCCAGTTGGAACTCAGAGTCCCCACATACTAGGCCTGCAGCCAGCCCCATGAGCACCCTCCCAGCTCTCTGGGGACCGTCGAAGCAGCCCTCCAAGGAAAGATGCGCAGGAGCTACCGTTTCTGCTGGTGAGACAGAAGCTGCCGCTGATTTGGGGATGAGTTTTCCCCAGGTCATCACACCTGTGACTTTCTTACTCAGCACCCCCCGCCCAAGGAATGTGAGGAGATCGCCCGACTTGCCCACAGAAGGGGCTGCTGGGGGCTCTCGGAGCACTTGGAGCCACCCACATGTTCTGGCCCTGAAACTCGCCCTCCGTGGGCCTCTGACTCAGATCCAGGCATCTCGGAGGGAGGACCCTGGGGCTCAGGGAGGGTTCCATGCGGCCGCCGGGGATGCAGGGCCATGTGAGGCTGCTGCAGCTGGTGCTGGTGCAGATGGGGTCGGTGGATGTGGGCTCTGCGGAAGGCGGAATTAGTGGTGGTTAGTGATGGTGGCAGGGGTAGGAGGGTGTGGTTGCAATGACGGTGATGGTGAGAGGATGCTTGTGGCAACGGCACCAGGGATGGCTGGAGCGATGGTGATGGGGGAGGGCATGGAAGAGATGATGGGGGAAGGGGTGTGGATGATGATCAAGAGGAGGTGATGGGGATAGTGATGGGAAAGTGACATGGCCAGTGATGGGGGAGTTGATGGGGGAGGTGATGGTGATGTGGACGGTGATGGGTAGGAGGTGACAGTGATGGGGAAGTAATGTGGATGGTGATGGGGGAGGCGATGGTTATGTGGATGGTGTTGGGGAAGTGATATGAATGGTGATGGGGGAGGTGATGTGGGAGGTGATGGTGATGTGGATGTTGATGGGGGAGGTAATGCTGATGTGGATGGTGATGGGGAAGCGACATGAATGGTGGTGGGGGAGGCGATGGGGGAGGTGATGGTGATGAGGATGGCAATGGGGGAGGTGATGGGGCCGGGAAGTGACAGGGAGGTGATGACTGCAGTGATGGTGAGGATAGTGGAGATGGTTGTGGTGTGTGTGGGTGCAATTTCTCTGAATCCATTTCTCCAGTGCAGTGGGGGGCAGTGTGGCAGCCGAACCCCAGTAGCCTTCACTTCTTCCTGGAGCCAAGACTTGGAGCTTGAGAGTCCTTTCTCGGATGGTTGGCTGGACTGTCCCTACCCACCAGTCCATGGGGCAGGCCGCTGCAGCCATGGGTCAGGATATAGCATGGGAAGGGGAGCACTGGGCGGACACTGGGCTGTGCAAGAACTGCAGGAGCCTCAGTGGAGAAGGGGGCAGGACTGAGCCTGGAGCATCTAGCACCCGGCGGGAAGGGGGCCTGGCTGCAGCTTTGCTTCCCCCTCAGAAGCCGGCTGAGGTGAGAGACAGAGGTGTGCAGCCAAATGTCTAGCAACCAACTCTGAAAGAAAAACACTGGGGAAAAAACCCAGGCCCTGTGAGCTGGGAGCTTCAGCACACCCTCTGTATGCAGGAACCTGGGGGGGTGGGTGGTTCCCCAGCACTGTGTGGTCTCCTGGGAGTGACCGCTCCTCCTAGCACTGCTGGGTGTGGATCAAAAAAAAAAAGAGAGAGTATCAGTAAAGCTGGGATCTGAGAGATAGCAGAGGCTAGGAGCTTGCCTTGCGTGCAGCCAACCAGGCTTCCGTCTCTCGCACCTCACATGGTCCCCTGAACCACCACAGAGGTGATCCCTAAGCACAGAGCCAGGAGTAACCCCGAGCACTGCCAGGTGTGACTCCAAAACAAAAGACAAAGCCAGATAGAATACCAAACCACGGTATTTTTGGTTTGTTTTTGAGCCACACCTACAGGTGCTGGGGGAAGCGGTCGTTCCTGGGACCACACAGTGCTGGGATCCCCTGGGGTGCTCGCACATGCTCGTGCCCCTGGTGTTCTTTTTTTTTTTTTTTTTGCTTTATGGGTCATACCTGGCAATGCACAGGGGTTAATCCTGGATCTGCATTCAGCAATTACTCCTGGTGGTGCTCGGGGGACCATATGAAATGCTGGGAATCGAACCCAGGTCGGCCATGTGCAAGGCAAACACCCTACCCGCCGTACTATTGCTCCAGCCCCTGGTGTTCGTTCTTTTGCAATAAGTAAGCAAGGCCCTATTTGTAGTGTTTCCCATCTCTGCAGTGTGAAACCAAGTGACCCGCAAGTGTGGTGTTGGGAAGAGCCGGTACCCGCCCCCCCACCCACCCCCATCTCCCCATCTTCTAGTATTTCCGCCCTGTGGGCCGGAACAACAGTGACAAATAACCTCAAGATAAGTCACAAGTAGGGGCCGGAGCGACAGCGCAGTGGGTAGGGCACTTGCCTTGCACATGGCAAGTGCCCTGGGTTCAATCCTGGCATCCCATGTGGTCCCCTGAGCTCTGCCAGGAGTGACTCCTGAATGCAAAGCCAGGAGTAATCTCTGAGCATCACCAGGTGTGACTCCAAAACAAATAACATCAAAAAAGATAAGTCATCAGTAGCAAACAAAAATGTTGTGATGATTTTATTGGGGACTTCCAAATGGTGCTCAGGAGTCCAGGGGGGCCACTCCGGTGACTCCCAGCCATCTGGGTTGGTGGGTCAGTGTGAGGGTCCGAGGATGTGGTGCTGCTTGGTCCTGTGGTGCCAGGATTATCCCACCCACCCCAACAGTGCTTGTGTGCCTCCAGGACAATCCCCCGGTGAAGCTCGGTGGACTGCGTGAGACTGGCAAAGCGTGAGATCTGAGCTTTAACTGCTGTGCTATCCTCCACGAGGATTCTGAAAGCGTTTGTAATATGATGCATTTAATTACCAGTTTATCCAATTTAGGATTCAGGGGCAGCTGTGTTTAACAAGAGGCTGGCAAGCTTCCCTACCCCTCGGTTCTCTCATCACTGGGGCTTGTGCACGGGGCGCTGTCCACGGGGCTGGCCGCTGACGCATGCTGCTGGGTCTCTCCTCAGGCGGATGTTCCCGTTCCTGTCATTTACTGTGGCTGGACTGGAGCCCACTAGCCACTACCGGATGTTCGTGGACGTGGTCTTGGTGGACCAGCATCACTGGCGGTATCAGAGTGGCAAGTGGGTGCAGTGTGGAAAGGCAGAGGGCAGCATGCCAGGTACACACGGCCGCCGGGGAGCTGTGGGCATTCTCTTTCTCCAAGAGTGGGCGCCCCCTGGTGGGTCGAGGAGGAACCCCCAGCCCAGGGTTTAACCCAGCTCATCCCACTCCTCCGCCCCGTCCCGCCCCACCCCTCCCTCTCGCCATCCACCCCACCCCCACCTCACTTCCATTTGGTGTGTCATCTCTTTTCCACCTTGCTTTCCTGCCTTCCGCTCAGTCCTCTACCCACGCCTTCCCCTCCCCTGCCGCTCCGCCACATCCTTCTGGCCGCCCGTCCACCACAGGCGAAGGAGCCCCTCGTCGGCAGGGCGCTGCCCCCGGGGCTGTGTGCCAAAGAGGCTCCTCGCCCGCAGGAAACCGCCTGTACGTGCACCCCGACTCCCCCAACACGGGCGCCCACTGGATGCGGCAGGAAGTGTCCTTCGGGAAGCTGAAGCTCACCAACAATAAGGGCGCCTCCAATAACGTGACACAGGTGGGCCGGAGTCACAGGTCACGGGGCTGGGGGGGGGGCACATGGTGGGGGGGCGGGGGTCAGACTTTTTCTGCTTTGTCAGAGTCACTTTTGTTCCTCTCTGACTCCGGTGGTGCTTCTCCACCAGAAGAGGAGGCGGGAGGAAGAGGAGGTGGGAGGAGGAAGGTGAGAGGGAAGGAAGCTGAATGTCAGCGGCAGACAGACAGACAGACAGACGGAGGGTCGGGTCACATCCAGGTCAGCAGGGGCTCTTCCCTGTGGAGAAGGCCTGTTTGCACCGAGACCTGGGTCAGAGGTGTGGGGGCCCAAGGGAGAGGGCTGGGGAGGAGGTGACTGAACCTGGCCCACGACCCGCAGATGATCGTGCTCCAGTCCCTGCACAAGTACCAGCCTCGGCTGCACATCGTGGAGGTGAGCGAGGGCGAGCCCGAGGCCGCGGCCAGCACCCACATCTTCACCTTCCAGGAGACCCAGTTCATCGCCGTGACCGCCTACCAGAACGCTGAGGTGCAGGGGCTGAACCTCGGGGCAGGGGTGGGGTGGTGGGGGGTTGTGGAAATCCAAGCCCTGTGCTCTGGACCCCACTGACTGTTCTCCTCCTCCAGATCACGCAGCTGAAAATCGATAACAACCCTTTTGCCAAAGGCTTCCGGGAGAACTTTGAGTCGTAAGTACCCCTGAGGTCCACTGCCCTCGCGGGGGCCTCCCTGTGGTCCTCGCTGTGATGGGGGTGGGGGGACGCTCAGCAACCAGGGTGGGGGTCTGACTGGCAGGACCTCTGGTAACGCCACCCCCACCACTGCTCTTCCTTCCAGCATGTACACGCCTGTGGACACCAGCGTCCCCTCCCCTCCTGGACCCAACTGCCAGTTCCTCGGGGGCGACCACTACTCCCCTCTGCTTCCCAACCAGTATCCTGTCCCGAGCCGTTTCTACCCCGATCTTCCCGGCCAGGCCAAGGACGTGGTACCCCAGCCGTACTGGCTGGGCACCCCCCGGGACCACAGCTACGAGGCCGAGCTCCGAGCGGTCAGCATGAGGCCAGCGCTTCTGCCCTCGGCCCCTGGGCCCACCACGTCCTATTACCGAGGCCAGGAAGTGCTGGCACCTGCAGCCAGCTGGCCCGTGGCCCCCCAGTATCCCCCGAAGATGGGCCCGACCAGCTGGTTCCGCCCCATGCGGACACTGTCCATGGAACCCGGAGCTTGTGACGGGCGAGGCCCCGAGGACCAGGGCTCCCCAGCGCTGTGGACTGACATCACCCCACTTCGGCCCGAGTCCAGTGACTCAGGACTGGGCGAGGGAGACTGTAAGAGGCGACGCGTGTCCCCCTACCCCTCCAGCGGGGACAGCGCCTCCCCAGTGACGGCCCCCTCTCCCTTTGACAAGGAACCCGAAGGCCAGTTTTATAACTATTTTCCCAACTGAGCAGAGGCTCTGGGGGAAGAAACGGAACCTGCGTTCTTAAGCTTGGAGAGGCCGGGCCAGGCCTCCGGCTGCCCCTGCTCCGTCTGTTGTTGGGGAAAAGGGCAGAGCCGGCACGATTTGGGGGTTCACTCGCTGCTTCCTGGCCCCCGTGGAAGTCTACCCTGGCGTGTCCCCCCACCCCTTCCTCTGCCCGAACTGATCACTTACCTGGTGCTGCTTCTGCGGTGGGGGTCCTGGCTGGAGGAGAGAATGGGGGTGGGGTGGTCACAGCAGGCGCAGGCGCTGCTCCCTCGGGGGAGCAGAGTAGAGGTCAGGTGGGGAAGGCGGGTCCCAGGGGACTTTGTCTCTTCCTCTGTAGGGTAAACTTTCAGCAGTTTCGTTTGTCAGTGTTTCTCCCTGATCTAAAAATAGAGAGGCACAGATTTTCAAAGTCAGCCAGCGGGGGGCAGGGAGAGGACTGGGGGACTGTGGGCAGCTGACCTGGGCCCCACCTGCCTGCCCACTCCCTCAGGGCAGTGGGGTGCAGGCAGGGGGTGGGCCACGCGGGAAGGAGCGGGGTCTGCGGGAGGCGGCGTGTGCACGCTCTTGTCTGGGCACTATTTATTGTGCGGAGAGTGGTGTCGGGCTGTATTACTCTTGTCTTCATCACTTTCTGAAAATAAATGTGAAAATGTCCAATGTGTCCTGCTTTGGGGCTGGGCGGAAGCCAGGCTGGGGAATGGAGTGTGTGTGGGGGGGGTGATAGAGGGGAGCGATTGGAGCTCCCAAGCACTGGCCAGCGGGTGCTGGAGCAGGACTTCCCGAGGACCTAGTGGCTTCCACGGGGGATACACAGCCGCCCGGGGCACTCGGGAAGGAGTGTTCCCTCTGCCAGTGTGCCCCCCCCCCCCCCCGACCCAGGCTGCGACAGAGTCTGAGGGCAGGATCTAAGGACAAGGCTGTGGGTGAGTGCTGGGTGGAGGGACAGACGGGCCGGGCCGGTGGCAGTTCTTTGGGGAGGGACGGTTTGATTTCTCTTTGCATTTCTAGATCACATGGAATTGCTGTTTTTGTAAGTCAAGAACATTCTGTAATGTCAAAAATTCTGTATGGTTCAGCCCAATCTATGGAATAGGTTTAGAAGCATGCTTTCATATGTAACCTATTGTTATTATTCTCTTCCCCTCCCCCCCCCACACACATGAAAATGATTCTTAAAATGATGCTGTAGCACAGCGGATAGGACATTTGCCTTGCATGCGGCCAACCCGGGTTCGATTCCCAGCATCCCATATGGTCCCCTGAGCACCGCCAGAAGGAATTCCTGAGTGCAGAGCCAGGAGTAACCCCTGAGCATCACTGGATGTGACCCAAAAAGAAAAAAAATGATCATTCTTTTTTGAGGGGATGGGTACACCCATCAATGCTCAGGGGTTACTGCTGGCTCTGCACTCAGGAATGACTGTAGGGCACTGCAGTCCCACTCCTGGCATTTCTTGACTAAATGCACCTGTGGTTCAATGCAACGGCCCAAGGATGTAGGTAGAGCTGGGAGTTACCCAGACCACCAAGTTGGTGACCAGGAGCTCCAGGGCCACGCTTGGTCATGCTTTGGGGACTGTGTGGCACCAGCCCTGTGACCTGATCTGCACTGCTCTCTCTCTCTCTCTCCCTCTCTCTCTCTCCCTCTCTCTCTCTTTCTCTCTCTCTCTTTCTCTCTCTCTCTTTCTCTCTCTCTCTTTCTCTCTCTCTTTCTCTCTCTCTCTTTCTCTCTCTCTCTTTCTCTCTCTCTCTTTCTCTCTCTCTCTCTCTCTCTTTCTCTCTCTCTCTTTCTCTCTCTCTCTTTCTCTCTCTTTCTCTCTCTTTCTCTCTCTCTCTCTTTCTCTCTCTCTCTTTCTCTCTTTCTCTCTCTCTTTCTCTCTCTCTCTCTCTTTCTCTCTCTCTCTCTCTCTCTCTGGTCCCTCCCTTTTATTTACTGATTTATTTTATATTTGGGGCTAATCTAACGATGCTTGGGGCTTACTCCCGGCTCTGCACTTAGGGATCACTCCTGGTAGGAAATGGGGTGCTGGGGACTGAACCCAAGTTCAGCTTCATATAAGGCACTCACCTTACCCATTGGATTATCTCTCTGGCCTCCCTCCCCCACTGTTTCTTCTGTTCGCAACGTGAGACTGAAGTACCAGCAGTGTGACCAAGTCATATGTGCCCTCTTTTTCAGACAGCTACCTAAATTTATTTGTTTGATTTGGGGGCTACCCCTCATGGTGCTCAGGGTACCATGCAGTACTGGGGATCAAACCTGCACTCTCAAATGCAAAGCGTGTGCTTCAGTCTTTCAAGCCAGTTTGCCAGCCCCTGACAGCATTGATTTTATTTATTTATTTATTTGGTCATAGCCAGAAATGCACAGGGGTTACTCCTGGCTCTGCACTCAGGAATTACTCCTGTCGGTGCTCAGGGGACCATATGGGATGCTGGGAATTGAACCCAGGTCAGTTGTGTGCAAGGCAAATGCCCTACCCACTGTGCTATCGCTCCAGCACCCAACAGCATTGATTTTAATGATATGTTACGTAACTCATAAAAGTTCAGTGCCATTCTTTGTTCTCTATTTGTATTTGTAAATGCACTTTTTACAAATAAAATCACATCCATATTTTACTAAATAATACAATTTATTTTTATAAGTCTAAGTGGATATAGAAGTCCTATATTATCTGTGATTTTGCTTTTGCTATGTCAGGGACTATCTCAAGGTTAACTGGCTAAGAATACTGAATGCAAGAAGATATTTTGACAGAGGCCATCATATAACTTCTATTTCAGTGATAAATTCTATTTTAAAATTTTCTATTCTATGATTAGTTATTATTCTTGATTTGTTAATAATACCATGCCTATTTCACAATGTGAATGTATTGGAACAAACATTCATGTGTATGGGGCTGGAGCGATAGCACAGCGGGTAGGGCGTTCGCCTTACACGCGGCCAACATGGCCGACCCGAGTTCGATTCCTCCGCCCCTCTCAGAGAGCCCGGCAAGCTACCGAGAGTATTCGATATGCCAGACACAGTAACAACAAAATCTCCAATGGAGAGATTGGAGAGACTGGGCCCGCTCAAGCAAATCGACGATCAACGGGAGGGCCTTTACCTTACCTTTACCTATTCTATGATTAGTTATTATTCTTGATTTGTTAATAATACCGTGCCTATTTCACAATGTGAATGTACTGGAACAAACATTCATGTGTATGGGGTTGGAGCGATAGCACAGCGGATAGGGCGTTTGCCTTGCACGCAGCTGACCCGGGTTCGATTCCCAGCATCCCATATGGTCCCCTGAGTACCTCCAGGAGTAATTCCTAAGTGAAGAGGAGCCAGGAGTAACCCCTGTGCATCACTGGGTGTGACCCAAAAAGCAAAAAAAAAAAAAATCCATGTATAGGTTTGATAATATCTACAGTTTCAGGGGCTGGAGCAATAACACAGTGGGTAGGGCACTTGCCTTGCATGCAGCCTACCAGGGTTTGACCCCTGGCATCCCATATGGTCCCCTGAGCACTGCCAGGAACAATTCCTGAGTGCAGAGCCAAAAGTAACCCCTGAGCATCACCAGATATGGCTCCAAAACAAAAAATGGTGCTTTGAGGGTCAGAGAGATAGCACAACGTATAACACATATGCCTTTCACGGGGCCAACCCAGGTTCAATCTCTGGCATTTTATTTGTGAAGGGGGTGTGGTATCACACCCAGTTGTATTCAGGAGCTACTCCTGGCTCTGTGCTTGGGGATAACTTCTGGCAGTGCTCAGAAGTTATATACTATCAGATATTATCATTAAACTCAGGTAGGCCTATGCAAGGAAAACACCCTCCTCACTATACTATCTCCCCAATCCCTCAACCTGAATTTGATCGCCGGCATCACAGATGGTCTCCCAAGCCCCACCAGGAATGAACCCTGAGTACAGAGCCAGGACTAAGCCCAGAGGACTGCTGGGTGTGCCCCAACGACCAAATGAAGAAGGGAAAAAAATGTATCCCACTGGCTTCTGGTTTCTAAAATATTTTGGAATCTATTGCTGCTCTAATTACCATTCTTTTGTAGGTCATCGGTCTTTTTCCTTCTGCTTTCCAGATCTTCTATTTATATTTGGTGTCCAACAGATCCACTCTACTGTGACCAGGTATGAATGTCTTTTTTCTTGACCTCATTTGGGACACGCCGTGCTTCCTGAATCTGTGTGCTTACGTGTTTCACTGATTCGGAAAGGCCCCAGTTGTCTCCTTAAATATAACTTCTCTGCCTTCTCCCCAACGTCACCCTCTGGGGCTGCCCTTAGGTGGACATCCAGCTTCCCACTCTGTTGTGACTAATGTCTCACAGCTCTCTATGACAGGGATCTCTAGCCGCTGGGCAGCAGGTGGAGGAAGGTTGAAGAAAGTATCTCTCTTCGCTCCATTCTGTCTGCGTTCTTGGGCTGTATCTTCTAGTATAACTCTACTTTCAAGAATAGTTTATCATTGATTTTTTAAATCACAGTATAAACTGTTCTGGGGCAGTTTTAATTTGATTTGGTGTGTGATTTGGGGGCCATACACTGACAGTACTCTGGGGTTACTCCTGACCCTGTGCTCAAGAATCACTCCTGAAAGTGCTTAGGGGACCATATGGAATGCTGGGAATAAAACCTGGGTCAGCTGCTCGCAAGTATTTTAGTATTTTAACCCCTGTACTATTTCTTCTGCCCCGTTGAAGTCCTTTTGATAACCATTTTATATATTTCTCTTATGATGTGTCCAGTGTTATGCTTTTTTTAAAAAAAAATTCATCAGTGTTGTAGAGCTTAAGGTGTCTCCAGGAAGTACAAACTTTACTTTTTAACTAGATGATACACCTGGAATTAAATTTTCAACTGGGTGATGGAAGTGGTTTGTGTGCATGACAACCAGAGCTTCCAGAAATACAGGGAGATGAGGGGGAAGTAGCCATCCCTGACTCTGTGAGAATCTGGAGATTTCAGTCACAAAACTCACATACCTGAATTTTTCAACAGTTTAATTT